AAAAAAAAATCGAGATATATATCTTATATCGCCATCCAGCTAAAAAATATCGAGATATGAATTTTGGGTCATATCGCCCAGCCCTAGGACGTACTACAGGAGGCATGCACTGTTTTGGAGCCATTTGAGCAGGTCACCGTGGAGAACAGTGCAGACAGGTGAGTGTGCAAATGTTATTGCATTATTATTATTATTATTAGTATTAGTAGTAGTAGTAGTAGTAAGTTGCATTGCTGGTTGCATTGCTGGTATGAAAAGTAGATTAGACATGATCATAAATAATAATAATATACTGCTGAATTTTAAAAAAGCATAATTTTGAAACTTGTTATGTACTCTTTTTCAGCCATGTCACAGCCTCCAAAATGTTAATCCTGTGCAAGGGTCTGCAGAGAGTGACAGCTGAACACCAAACCAGAGTAACTACTGGAAAAGTGAAAGAGTTGGTGGATGCTCTCTGTGCATCCATGGACAGAAAATTCCACAGAATGGAATATAATGCTGTTCTCTCTGAAACCACCATTCTTGATCCAAGATTCAAGAAGCTGGTCTTTAATGACAACAGAGCGGTGGATGAAGCTCTTCAGAGAATAACTGCAGCAGCAAGATCCAGCCAACCAACTCCACTGCCAGGGAACCAAGAGGGAGAAGAGGATGAACAAGCTGTTTGGAGGTTCTTTGAAGAACGAGCAAATAGAGACACTACCAGAAGGAATCCCTCAGCAGATGTAATACTGGAAGTGAGATCCTACATTGATGAGCCCCTTTGCCAGAGAAGTGCAGATCCACTGAGCTGGTGGGAGACAAAGGCTTATACTTATCCACGTCTTACCCAGGTGATGACACGGAGACTTTGCATTGTAGCAACATCAGTCCCCTCAGAGAGAATCTTCTCCAAAACAGGACAGATAATGAATGACAGAAGAAACCGGATCAGCTCCTCAAAGCTAAGGCACTTGATATTCCTGAATGCCAACCTTTCCGTCAATTAAAGATCTGGTTGTTCATGTTTTCTTTTTGTTTTGCATATTTTAATTGATATTTTATTGTGTTGTGGTTTGTAGTGTTTTGTGTTCTTTTGTTTTGAATTGGTTTAAAAGGAAAAAAGCTGAAAATTTAAAAGGAAAAAAGTTGAATTGTAAATAGTTGGTTTTTGTACTTATAATTTATTTTTTTTTACATTTTGTGTGCTGTGAATAAATACAAGAATATTTATATGATAAACATTTATAAATAAAAAAGACATTTTTTACATTAGTAGTTCATTGTGTGCATGATTTTATATTGTTGTTAATACCGTATTTTCACGACCATAAGGCGCACTGTGCTAAAAGGCGCAGTCTCAGTTATGTGTGCCATTACTGTATTTAACACACACATAAGGCGCACTGGACCATAGGGCGCATACAAGTACCGTATGCGTATTTAAAAATAAAGCGGGAGCAAACCTGAATTCGGTACCTTACTCACATTTCTATTGCCGGTAATCGTCATCATCAACAACACACAAGCATAAAAGTGTGCGTATTTAAAAATAAAGCAGGAGCAAAACAAAGTTTGGTACTCACATTTTTATCATCAATTAAACCCATCGAAGTCCTCATCCTCTGTGTCTGAATTGAACAGCTGCGCTAAATCTCCATCAAACATGCCAGGTTCACTGTCTTCACTGTCAAAGTCACTTTCCGTGCCGTGCGGCTCCTCGGAAACGATGCCGGCTTTTGCGAAAGCTCGAACAACAGTGCCAGCAGACATGTTAGCCCAAGCATCTACAATCCATTGGCAAATTGTGGCGTAACTCTCCCGGCGCTGCCTTCCACTCTTAGTGAAACTGCGTGGAAAAAACCACCTGGTCTCCTTACATACACCTCCCTCAGCCAGTCTTTCATCATTTCCTCATCCATCCAGCCCTTTTCATTTGCCTTAATGATGATTTCTGCTGGAAACTTCTCTTTAGGCAAAGTCTTTCTCTTAAAAATCACCATAGGCGGCAGTTTCTGTCCATTAGCATGGCAGCCAAGCACAACAGTAAAAGAAGACTTTTCATACCCCGTTGTGCGTATCGCTACCGTGCTGGTCCCCTTCTTCTCCACAGTGTGACTCACCGGGATGTCAAAAGTGAGCGGGACCTCGTCCATGTTTGTGATGTGGCTGGGCTGGATGTTTTTGTCGCCGATGTGTTTGCTGCAGTAGGAGCGGAAGATGGCCAGCTTTTCCTTATAATCCGCTGGAAGTTGCTGCGCTACCGTAGTCCTGGTCCGGATGGAAAAATGGCACCGTTTCATAAAACGAAAGCACCAAGACGGACCTCCTTGGAAATGTTCAATGTTCATCTCTTCAGCTAGTGAAACTGCTTTTAGCCGAATGGTGACCGTCGAAACGCTTCTCCCGCTCGCTCTTTGCTCGATGATTCACCGCTCGAGTCTTTCCTCCAACTCGGGCCACCTCGCCTTATGTCCGCGGAAACTCAGCTGCGTTTTCTTGACCTGCCGGAGCTTGTTTTCCAGCTTCCTCCATTTGCAAACCATCGATTCGTTAATCTTAAATTCTCTCGCCGCTGCTCGATTTCCATGTTCCTCCGCGTAGCTGATGGCCTTCAGTTTAAACTGTGCTTCGTAAGCGTGTCTCTTTGCCATTTTCAGGGTTGTTAAAACAACGATGTCCTGCATAATGCACATACCTGTTCTTTTATACAGGTATGTGCGATTGTCCCGGTATATACGATCAACGCCCACACTTCACCCTTTAACGTTCTCATGGTGTTCTCTACTACGTCCTCCTTACAACACATAGGGCGCGCCGCACTTTTTGAAGAAAATCTAAGACTTTTAAGTGCGCCTTATGGTCGTGAAAATACGGTAATAAATTACTTAAAGCAACAAAACAACCTGAATCAGAATCAGAATCGTGTTTATTGACCAAGTATATGTGCAGACACATACAGGGAATTTGGTTCCGGTAAATGGTGGCTCTCAAGCACAGTAATGTAAATCACACACACACACACACACACACTCCTGAAGAGCCGGTTCGGAACCGAAAGAGCCGGTTCTCTAAAAAGAGCCGGAAATCCCATCACTAGTCGCTACCCGGCCTGTAGCCGCACAGTGTTCACTTTTCTAGCAACCATGGCTGGAGCCGAAGAGATGAATAGGTATCGCTCACCTCTGGTGTCCAGATACGCCAGCAAAGAAATGAGCTACAACTTCAGCGAGAAAAAGTTCACCACCTGGAGGAAGCTGTGGATTTTTCTCGCAAAAGCTGAGAAAGTTTGATATAATGATCTGCTGATACAAGCTTATAAAAGAAGTCCGCGACCTTTATCAAGTTTCCTGCTCTAAACATAGTTATAAGGAGGTCTTACGAGTCGTGTGGATGCTACGCGGTGCTGACTGAGCAGACTGCTACCGTACAGTAATCAGTGTCTTTGTCTGGAAGTCATAGGTCATATTTTAAATGAACATTTGGCTACGTCCACACTGTTACGTTCCCCTGAGGGGTCTAGGCAGTGAGGGGGAAGTAACAAAATGTAAGTCAAAAAGAGAGCAGCTCACTTCAGTTCACTAGCTGCAAACACCACGCACACAGCTCACTAGCTGTAACCACTCACATGGCACTCTGGGCAGAGCTCACCTTTCCCTGGGCTTAAATCTCTTTAATTACTGACGAGAGTCAGCTGCACAAAAGGGAAAAGGTGGCACCTCAGGCAGAAGAGGTAGTGGGACACGCCCACACAGGTATTTTTGAAAACTGAGATTTTTCTATGCGTTTGCACCTTTTGTCCACACGTAAACAGCATTTTCAGTCACTGAAAACGGGGATTTTTAAAAACACCTGCCAGGGTGGATATTTTCGAAAACTCAGTTTTTGTATTTATGTGTGGATGAGGAAAACTGAGAAAAAGGTGTGCGCCATTTTTGACGTCACACTGTGCGCCACGTTATTTTCGGTGAAATGAATTTCTACAATACTGTTAATTGTACTCTCTGCAGTGTTTAAATGCTTACATATACACACACAGTTACTGTCCCTCCACACACAGGACTCGGTTCTGCTTCTATGCCCCATCTTTGTTTACTATTTCCCACCGAGGCTTCTAGACTTCTGATTGGCCAACATTTCTATCGCCAACTGTTGCTTTGGCATGTTCCTAGCAGCGTTTTCCTTCATTTTTGGGTTTACGTGTGGACGGGATTATTTTTTTGAAAACGGAAAATCTCGTTTTCAAAAATACCCGTCAACATTATTATGAGATTCTAAAATTGAAACTCTGCAGTTCGTATTTTCTATCGCAGAGTCACGTGAGCTTCGACACGCATGCGTACATGTTCTGAATCATTTGAACAGCTGCTGCTCTCTCGACAGCGAATGTTACTGTGAACGAAAAGCTCTTCAAGTGGGAAAATTATTAACAGTAACTGTGGCTAAATGCTGTTGTGTTTGTGCTCTCTTCTCTACTGAGGTTTTATTTGACCTGTCTGACCTATGACTCCTTTGACTGGAGAGAGGTACTTGATTATCTGGAACCTTTCTGTACTGCTGTAGGAATCACGTGCCTCCTCGCGAGGACAGCACATGATGATCAAAACTGGAGAAAAGACACGCTGACAGGCTGACTAATGACTAATAAACAGCAGGCTGTTTTTTATCAGCTTAGCAATGCAAGTCACTGACTTTTACCCAAACATCCTTTCCATCAACAGAAGAGCCAATACTGCAAATATGTGTATTTATAATAAAACATGTATTTATAATAAAACATGTATTTACATAAAAACGTATTTGCATTTGTAACTGTTGATAAATATCTTAAAAGTAAAGAACTGTATTATCAAGAGTCAAAAAGCTCCACATAAAAAGCTTATAAGTAAACTCTGAAAATGAATGAAACCCTGCAGGAAATGGTTCAGAATTCATTCTGTAACTACAAGCACTTTTGTTTTGCCAGCTCTAAACTTTACGAGTTGCTTGTAGGAACTCTTCCTGTTTGTCATCATGTCTCTGTGTTCAATGTTCTCCTCCTCAGGCTCTGGGTCTGCCCATCACTGATGCTCAGATTGCAGAGATGGAGAGCCATGCAGAGGACATTGACTTTGCCATGGCGGCTGAAGAAGAGCGAAAGCTGAGGCACGATGTCATGGCGCACGTCCACACCTTTGCACACTGCTGCCCCACAGCTGCTCCCATCATCCACCTCGGAGCTACGTCATGCTATGTGGGAGACAATACTGTAAGTAGGACTATTGCATAAATAAACCCAGCAGTGATGAGTTTTGACTCTTTAAAGCTTCTCATGTTTGTCGTTTCTCTTCTTCAGGATCTCATTGCATTGCGTGATGGCTTCAACATCCTCTTGCCTAAGGTGAGACTCACCTGTTTGTCCAGAAATTCTATGAAAACAGTGCAAATTAATATCAAGCTTATTTTTTGTTTTTACAGTGAGTCCATTAAAAAAAAACTAACAGGGCATTTTCATTGAATACATGAAAAATTATATTTAAAGATTACAGGACAGGCTATCCAACATGTTGGTTACATTTATTATGCATCTTCACTGCTTCTGGGAGCTAAAGATCAAAGCTGGCTGTTTGTAGCCCACGATGTAAAATAAGTTTGACACCCTGATTTGATCATTAAAGGCTTGTTTTTCCTGCAGCTGGCCAGAGTCATCGACCGGCTGGCAAACTTTGCAGAGGAATACGCCGACCTCCCCACGCTCGGCTTTACACACTTCCAGTGAGTCCGACTGCAGCTGCAGTGTTTTCATAGGCCTTCATCAGACTGATGGAGCTGTCTAACTTTGATGTCAAACACACCCACTGTGCCCCTCTCCTCCTCTCTGTACAGGCCTGCCCAGTTGACCACAGTGGGGAAGCGAGCGTGTCTGTGGCTGCAGGATTTGGTGATGGATGTGAGGAACCTGGAGCGAGCCCGCGATGATCTTCGTTCCCGTGGAGTCAAGGGGACCACAGGCACCCAGGCCAGCTTCCTGCAGCTCTTTAAAGGGGACCATGACAAGGTATAAACAACCATAAGAACCATGTGGGTGCTTTCTGAAGTCCAACAGCACCGTATTGTGATGACTTTTTAATATCAGTTTTCCTTTTGTGCCACCAGGTGGAAGAGCTTGACAAGATGGTGACAGAGATGGCTGGCTTTAAGAGGTGAGTATCAAACTCCTGTCTCCAATGTTGACTGACATGTTTTTTTAATATGGTCCAAGCAGGAACAGTTTGAAACACTGGCTATAACTCATTTGTTCCATTCTTATCCAGAGCCTACCTGGTGACTGGGCACGCTCGCTGGTTTGGGAGTTTCTGTGCACAAGGTGAGGAAATATCTCTATGTAGTGGTGGTTAAAGAAACCTGGGTCTTGAGCTTCAAAAAGCTGATCTAACAGAGTGTACACTTTATGCTGTTATCTGCTGTAGATCTGCACAGACATCTGCCTGCTGGCCAACCTAAAAGAGATCGAGGAACCTTTTGAGAAGGAGCAGATTGGTACGTTCGCTCATTCAAAAGCACTTTTTACCTGTTAAACTGTGCCTCAGCCTAAAGCTTTGCCCGCTCCTCTTCCAGGTTCCAGTGCTATGCCCTACAAGAGGAACCCCATGCGTGCAGAACGCTGCTGTAGCTTGGCCCGACATCTGATTGCGTTGATGGCCGACCCCCTGCAGACTGCCTCAGTCCAGTGGCTGGAGAGGACACTGGATGACAGCGCCAACAGGTCAGCCAACACAGACACACTTACACTGCTGTGAATTTGGTATGATGCAGTTCTCCTCTGTGAAGTAGATATCACATCAGTGTGGAAGCGTACAATAAATAGTAGTGAACAATGATTCCCAATTACAGGGTTTGTACGGGTGCTTGAAATCCTTGAAAATGCTTGAATTTTAATATTGTCTTTTCAAGGTTTGAAAAGTGCTTGAACTTCAGATGTGGAGCTTAAACGTTCTTGAAACTGTATTTCACTCACCACAAATAACTCTGAATAGTTTTCTTATCAGATAGAGAAATTAAATGAGTTGCAAAGTGTAAAAGCAACATTTCTCCGCCCGGGCTGCCGTGCACCTCTGCATGTCAGTCCGTTTCTAATGTGTGCCTCCGCCCCGCACAGTCAGGGATGAGTGCACTAACATGTTGGTGTTTTAATGAGTGTTTGATGGAAAACGACAATGGCGGAGTTTGCGCTCTTGAGACACATGACAGGAGAGTCCTAGTAAATAATTTTCGAGAATGTGTACATGACACATGCCAATTTTTTAAAACTATTATTATTTTGCTGGCTTTCAAATTTTCTGGAGAAATAATTGAAATGCATTGAGTGTAATGCAGTATGGCAGCGCTATTACAGTAGGTAGTTATGGCACTATCAGCCACTGAGACAACAGACAAATATGTGTTAATATATGAATATTTCATACTTTAAGGCTGCCTGTTTATTAAAGCAGTGGTTCCCAGACTTTTTTTTGCTAGGCTCCCCTTTGTTTTACAAGAAAAATGTTCGTGCCCCTCCCCCGCACGCACTCATCCTCCAACCACACACACCCATATTTTGCTCCAGTGCAGTTTATTTCACACCTCAAACATTTAGTAAACAGTTAAGCAAATACAAGTAATCTGCAATAAATTACAGGTAGTAAGGAAATAAACTACTAACTCTTTTGTGCTACGTGCACTCATACACGGGTATTTTTGAAAACGCAGCTGTTTTGTCCACAAGTAAACGGCGTTTGGAATCACCGAGAACGGAGATTTTTTTAAAACTTCTTTTTTGCGTTTAAGTGTGGACGAGGAATACAGAGTTCGTCACGCAATGTCAATGGTATGTGCCTTTTTTCACGTCACGCTGTGCGCCACGTTATTGTTTACATGAGATGAATAGCAGAATGGCAGATAGATTAACAGTATTTTGTCTCTGACTATCTTCAGGTTTTACACGCTTACATATACACACACAGTTACTGTCGATCCATTTAGAAAGGCAGAGGCGTCATGGTGTGATTATTTTACGTGTAGCTGGTTTGTTTTTTTGTTTGTTTGTTTTTCCTGTGTAATAATATTACACAGTGTAATAATATTACACAGGAAATATTATTTTCTTGTGTAATAATATTCAACATTTCACAAGCGCATGGCACAACACAGAAGAGCCACCTCCACAGGACAAGACTCAGCAGTCCATCTGCATCTTAAGGATAAAGGACACTCTTTCGAGGATGCCAATGTTCACATTTTGGACAGAGAGGACAGATGATTTGAAAGAGGAGTGAAAGAAGCCATCTATGTCCACTGTGAGCGACCATCTTTGAACAGAGGTGGTGGTTTACGACACCAACTCTCTGCCATCTATAATCCAGTTTTGAGATCCCTTCCCAGACGCCTTAACGCCCACTCACATCCTGGGCCATCTGATCTCAGGAATTCGCATGAGAAGGTGGAGCCAGGTTTCACCCGAACTCACCCGAAACTCTGGCTGATTGGGACCCACACCCAGTTTCACACCTTGGCTCAGGCGATTAGAGGATCATCAGGGGGTCCTTTTGTCCCTCTGTGGGGGGATACTCCCTCTAGGTTTATATCTGGGACTCTCCACCATTTGACCTTAGAACTGAAGAAGCTTCTCGGATGAGAGGTGAAACGTCTTTAAGCAACTTAAAGAAGTCCAGACGCTTTTCTTTGCAAGCTCCTTTGACTACGATGACCTGGATGACTGAGAACCTTCACAGAAATATTCAACATTGCTATCAATACATTTTTCAAAAAATGCCTCTCTGTGCAAAATGGGTTTAAACACATAAACAGCTGTGGGATCCTGTTTGTCTGTGATTTGAACCGGGGGAACAAATTGTGGCAGGATCAGCCTGATATTATTTGTATCCCACACTAACTTTACTGTATAAAGAGATAACATCTCCAAAATATCAGGAGTAGTTAGTCATTACAACAAGTGTTTGTGAATTAAAAATCAAGAATGTGGGATACTGTTTGTCCGTGATTTGAACAGCCCAGCGCTGCTCCCGACAAAGGGAAAGCCAATTCTGCAGGGGAGACCTACCTTGGCACTTGTGCAGGTGAAGCCAAAGGGAAGATATGCTTCACCATATTTTCTAGTCTTTGGCTTAGAATGAAGCCAAAAGACTAGAATGAATATGTTTCCATTCCATAGCTGAATGGAAACATATTCAGCTATGCTTCATCTCCTGCTTTGTATTTCTGTAGGCGCCCCGTGCTAGCAGTGTCCTAGCGGGTTTTTTTTCTTGTTTGTTTGGTTCCCCCCCCCCTTTTCATACCGCGCCCCACACTTTGGGAAGGTCTGTATTAAAGGGAGATGAACAATTCATTATGTTCAAAGCGTCTCCCAGTCAGTGCTGTTCTCCATGACTGTCTTACTGTGTATGATGTTATTAGCACAAACACTTTAAAGATAATCATTTAGGACTTTAACAATTATACAGACAACAGTGTAGTTAAACAACTTACAGTTAGTTTTATTGGGAATTCACTTTAACCTGTTAGGCCTCCAGGGGTTTTCTGAGCTTTCTGCTTGAAAATGAAATGACTAAAATAAATGGAGTATTTCTCCACAGTTACAAACTGTGTATGCAATCTTGCTATCAAAATAAAGCTAACACTTGTGAGATGTCATCAGAGGTGTAAATATTACTGCAGATGATACTATGTTATAAGTTACTGTGACTCAAACATAGAAAAAAAATTATTTTTTTTTTATATCTCACACCTAATTAAAGTATTTTAAAGCATTTAACACCTTTGAAAATATGCTTTGGTTCACATTCAACCCCAGAAAATCATATATCAATATGGATATTACCTGTCCACAGATTCATGGTGAGGTAACTGCTCTTTAACGGTTTGGTGTCTTTGATTTGTTTGGTGGTTTTAGAAAATGGTCTGAAATTCAGGTTTCTGTGGACACTACTCATGTCAGCATTTATATTGTCTTATCCCTCCTCGTGTTAACCGATTAAACGCGATCTCCTCCCTTTTGCCCTCGTTTTTGGGGGCGTGAGTGCTTAACTAGTTAAAATAGGAGACAGATGTTTTTTGTTTTTTTTTGTGTAGCGTAGGACAAATGTCAATATCTGATGAGAAGACTTATTAATTTGGCCTTGCTGTGTATTATTGTGGTGTTTGGTGCAGTTTTTTTGTTTGGTGGGGTTGTTGTTGTTGGTTTTGTTTTTCTTCTTAAAGTGGAAATGAATATCTCTAACAAGTTGATTTGTTCACATTTGCACATCTTAATTTCTAAGAGAAATGTGTTTTTGTTTTTTTTGAGTTTGTACACTGTATGCATTTAAGACCATTTCCTTTTTCAGTATTTTTGTGTGGTGCATTTTTCTGTTTTTAACAAAAAGGGGAACAAAAGAAGTTTAAGTTGACCTAAGATGATTTATTTTAATTTTTACATGATCTTCCTAAGGTGGTGCTAAGTGAAACATGCGTCATTGAATTTTATTTTGGTAATGTACTGGAAATGCTTGAAAATGGACCTAGAAAGTGCTTAAAGTGTTTGAATTTGACCCTGAAAAATGCATATGAACCCTGCAATTAGGAGTGAGTAGCCCACGTGGAGTGCCACAGTGACTGCCCACTTTTTTTTAAGTGGATTTCTCCTTCATTTTTCCCACTGACACTTCAGGAAATCCATGAGAGTTTGAGGCCTTGAACAAAGCCAAACAGCTAAGAGAGGAATTGTGGCCATAAAGGGAAAATGGAAGAAAACCTAAAGGGGGGAAAAAATAAAAGAAAGCAAGAGTAAAAGGCGATGTACATAATTGCGTTAATGGTTAAAGAACTACACATCCTACAATGCATTGCACATTGTTACCCAGGATTCAGTGGTTGAGTAAAAAGCTGTTACTTGTGATTACTGATGGTTTCTTTCCTCTCTTCTCTGCCTTGCTCCTGTGCAGGAGGATCTCCCTGCCCGAGTCCTTCCTGACAGCAGACATCATCCTCAGCACGCTGCAGAACATCACAGAGGGTCTTGTGGTCTACCCCAAAGTCATTGAGAGACACATCCGCAATGAGCTGCCCTTCATGGCCACAGAGAACATTATTATGGCGATAGTGAAGGCAGGAGGCAACAGACAGGTAGGAGAAAATGCCCTGTGAGGAATTCTCCTCTGAGTCAGAATGGACACAATAATAAAAGTTTTGAACATAACTGGATGAATGCATTTTTGCTTAATCAGGAGAGATGGTTTACTGGGCAGAAAATGCCAGTGGTAACCAGAAAAACAGATGACTGAAGTGAGCTCATCTTACTGACTAGTAACCAGTGTTTTGACCATTTAAATGAAGAAGCTGATTACCAATAACCAGACCTGACATGGAGACCTAACAACATGGCTGTTAAAGTCAGCTCCACCTTAATGTTTCTGTTTTTTCCTGTCTCCTTCAGGAGTGCCACGAGAAAATCCGTGTTCTCTCCCAAGAGGCAGCAGCTGTGGTTAAACTGGAAGGTGGAGACAATGACCTGCTGGCCAGAATCCAGCGAGACCCCTACTTTGCACCCATTCTAGGGCAGCTGGATGCTTTGCTGGACCCCAAGACCTTTATTGGGCGTGCTCCACAGCAGGTACAGCATGAACAGCCTTATTTTTGTTCAGTCTGACAACAGATGAATGTTTTCATCTAAGCCACAGCTCCCCTATTACTGCAGCTGTGTCTGCTGCCCCCCCTTGATGATAGTTTGTTTTCTTGTTCCTGCTCCTCTTCTTCAGGTGTCAAAGTTCCTGGCTGAAGAAGTACGCCCCCTACTGGAGCCATACAAGTCTAATATGAACGTCAAGGTTGACCTTGTGGTTTCAACAGTGACGGGCAAATGAAGCTATCTGAAGTATTGAAGGTTATATTGAAAAACTGTTCATTACTCAAAGCTTTTCACACACTGTTGTTTGGTGACATCTGGTGGCCAAAAATATGAAGAGCGGCTTGAATCTACAACTTATAATGAACTGATTCATTATGATTGGCCACTTTACAGCGCTGAATTGACAGCCTCTGTGTAACATGAGGCTGATATGGTGCTTTGAACATATATAATGCTTTTGGCTGGGTGAAAAAAAAATGCTATGCTAACCTTCATGAGGGCATCTGCAACTTGAACACGGAAGTCAAGAAGTGGCATATACTTCTTCTCCTGCTTCTGGGTGAGATGACGGCGATAGAGGAGCCAGCCATTGACCAATGATAGGTCAATCAAGTAGTACAAGATGCGCAGGTACCAACAACTTGGGCGGATGTCAATGTGATAGAGAGCTGCAAACATGTCTGCTAAGTCTACTCCTCCCATATTGTGGTTGTACACCTTGACAATGTGGGGTCTGTCCACTTCCACATATTCCTTCTTCTCTTTCGACCACCTTCTGCATCTCTCAACAGGTTCAGGGCCAATGAAGGATGATGCCAGTAAAACTGCCTTGTTATCATACCACTTCACGATGGACTTCCCACTTGTCTTTTCATATTTCACTTCATACGCACCACGCCCATCCTTTGAGAGTTCCTTGTCACTTTTGAGGGTACATCCACGGAGACGGTTACGATTGATGGTAGAAGCTGTTAGAATTCCCATTTTCTTCAGTTCCACAACGAGTTCAGGGGAAGTGAACCAGTTGTCGAAGAAGCACTTGTAGTTTAGACCTTTTGGAACTTCTGACACGAGACGAAGCACAACTTCTCCGGCAACACCAAGTCCACGCTCATTGGTCACAGTCCCTTTTCCAGTGTATACTTCAAAGTCATAGACTAGTCCAGTGACACCTGTACAAGTAAAGACCTTGATTCCCCATTTTTGCGGCTTTTTCTTGATATACTGTTTCATTCCAATCTTTCCTTTGAAGGGGATCATCAGCTCATCAATGGAGTGGTTCTCTTCTCTTCAGTTCTGGGCCATTCTTCATAGCTGCATACAGGTTAGATTGGTGAGAAATATGTTCAAACACGGATTTGTCCATGAACTGATCACTTTGGACTTGGTATTTCGTCTGGTGGAGGTGAGAATGCAGGTCCTCGGAATGAAGAGTCTATGTCAGCTGCTGCGGGTTTCCTCTGCCTGGTTCCGCTCCTTGTTGACAGGAGCTGGGCCTTGCTGAGGTGCATTGTCATCTGGGACCTCAGTGTCACTGTCTGCATGTATGAATTTCAACATCAAGGTGGTTGGGATTAGCTTTTGCTATTGCTGCCAGTGGCTCATCATCATCAAGGCTGGAGTCAGACTCGTATGCTTCAGGAGTATCCTCAAAATCTGGATCAGCAATTTTATCATCTGAAATGGATTCTGTGTCAGATAAAGCCCCATCAGGAAGGCAAATCAACTCAATGGCTTCCCTCACTGAGTAAAATTTTCGTCTGCCTGCCATAACACACTGCAAATCCTGCAAATAGAGTATTCTGTAAGATAGTTTGCCAAAAAATGCCTTAACACATTGATCTGTAGTAATATATGTGCCATGGAATTAGGCTACATCAGTTTTCATTACTGCACAGTAAAATGAACATCGTATTGTGCCATTGTTTTTGATCAAATCTGCCTCAGATTGTTTGTAACTTCACTCTAAATTATTTAATTTTCCAAAGGATATACCCTCAGTGACACCTCAAAGTAATATGTAAACATTGGTGATATGAAAATAACCCTAGTATGAACTGTTGCTCAAAATATAGGCAAACTATTAGATAAAGCATGTGGCATCCAGTGGTACCTATCTGGCCACACATTGCAAATCTGCTACGTTGAAATAAAGCTGCCCCAGGGGAAAAATCCAGAAGAGATAAAATCCACTAATTGGCATTTACTGTATCTATATACACTCATGATTCTTCTGATGCAGTTTTGGTTTCAAATTAATGGAGGTTGATAGTGATACTTACATGAAATTGACGCCAAGAAAATCAGTGTCAGTGAACCCAAGGAAGCAGACGTGTTGGAAGTGGGATAACACTGCCATCTGGTGAGCAAGTGGGAAACTTTTTGTTGCTAATGCACAACCAAGTCCTGCAGTGGTACTTCTGAGTAAAAAAAAATCATAAAATATGTATGTGGGGTAATCAGGTTGTTAGTTTTTAACTGTTGCAAATCAGCAACGTCTGCCTCGAGAGGGTTAATCTTTTTCTCTTCCACAGCATGTCTTCATCCTGTCTTCCTTCTCTCACCCCAACCGGTCGCAGAGGATGGCCGCCCCTCCCTGAGCCTGGTTCTGCTGCAGGTTTCTTCCTGTTAAAAGGGAGTTTTTCCTTCCCACTGTCGCCAAAGTGCTTGCTCATAGGGGGGTCATATGATTGTTGGGTTTTTCTCTGTATGTATTATTGTAGGCTCTACCTTACATTATAAAGCACCTTGAGGTGACTGCTGTTGTGATTTGGCCGTATATAAATAAAATTGAATTGAATTGAAAATTGAATATAAATAGTTTTTCAAACAACAAACAACAAATTTTATTTTCCAAAATAACAACAACAGAAGGTAGTTGTTTCAAATTTTTCTTGAATATTATACGTATTAAAAAAAGCTCAAGACACTACAATAGGCCAGCAGGAAGAAATTCACACATTGAAGGAAGCTGTAGATCCACATATGATAAAGCTGAAATTTTTGTTGAAATAGTCCTGATTTATCTGTTTCTTTTGGGGACACTCGGCAGTTCCAGAGTTGCATTTTATTAAAATAATAATAAGAAAAAAAAATAAGGAACCCCGTGTATACCCTATACAACAATACACTGAAAATTTGACAAATAAAATAGATGAAATTGCATTTTTTGTGAGTTATTTAATATTAGATAAATGCAACTGATAAGCACAGATTTTTCATCATTCTTATATGCTTGGGTCAGCCTTTGATCTCGTAGACTTTTCTATGTGAAACGGCTCTGCTTCTTCTTTGTGCCCTCAGCACCAAGCTGTGGCATCCCTAGTGGCACTCTCACAGCTGTTTATGGTGAGTCCATGAAATGATGCCACAAGATGCTGTGGCATCTGAGCTGTCTTTGCCTGCAGGGGTGCGGAAAGGATTTTCCAGGGTGCGGAGCTGGGTCTCCAATTTAGTGAGCCTGACCTCCAGAGCTGCAAATATGCAATATGCCTTAAAAGTATCATTATTACCTAACGAGGCAGAGAAGTAGCGAAAGATCTGACACACTGAGCATTGAGGAAAATACAGGAGCAACAAGTGAAGGAGCCACTGGCTCAACTACAATCTATAATAAGCTAGAAAATTCAAAAGGACAAAGTGAATAAATAATGTGAATATAATTGCCAAGTGATTCAACGAGTTTGACTTTTTGCTGGCAATGTGGACCAAGCTCTCATAATGTGCCAGAATATCTTTCTGGAGCTGTGGCATCACCCTCAGATGCCACAGCATCTTGTGGCATCATTTCATGGACTCACCATAAACAGCTGTGAGAGTGCCACTAGGGATGCCACAGCTTGGTGCTGAGGGCACAAAGAAGAAGCAGAGCCGTTTCACATAGAAAAGTCTACGAGATCAAAGGCTGACTTCTTGGCACAAAATGCATTCAAATTACACGAAATAAGGTAGGTGTTACTTTCGCAGTCCACTAGGGGCCAGTAATGCAACTGTAAGTTTGTTCAACTGCTATAAAGAACCCCAGAGGAAGAAGAAAAAGAGCGGGGCGGGGGAAAGAAGCTGAAGACCCTGTCGCTACCCTGCAGTGTTCACTTTTCTAGCAACCATGGCCGGAGCAGAAGAGATGAATAAGTATCGCTCACCTCTGGTGTCCAGATACGCCAGCAAAGAAATGAGCTACAACTTCAGCGACAAAAAGAAGTTCACCACCTGGAGGAAGCTGTGGATTTTCCTCGCCAAAGCTGAAAAGGTTTGCTATAGTCCGCGACCTTTACAGAGCCTTATCAAGTTTCCTGCTCTAAACATAGTTATAAGGAGGTCTTAAGAGTCGTGCGCATGCTACCCGGTGCTGACTGAGCAGACTGCTACCATACAGTAATCAGTGTCTTTGTCTGGAAGTCATAGGTCATATTTTAAATGAACATCTGTCAACATTATTATGAGATTCTATAATTGAAAATCTGCAGTTTGTATTTTCCCATCGCAGAGCCATCGTGAGCTTCGACACGCATGCGTACATGTTCTGAATTATTTGAACAGCTGCTGCTCTCTCGACAGCGAATGTTCCTGTGATGAACGAAAAGCTCTTCAAGTGGGAAAATTGGTAACAGTTACTCTGGCTAAATGCTGTTGTGTTTGTGGTATCTTCTCTACTGAGGTTTTATTTGACCAGTCTGACCTATGACCCCTTTGACTGGAGCGAGGTACTTGATTATCTGGAACCAATCTGTAGTGCTGTAGGAATCACGTGACTACGGTGTCCCAACAGAATACAGTCCAGTCTAATCAGCATATTGAGCGCCTGTGCCTCCTCACGAGGACAGCACATGATGATCAAAACTGGAGAAAAGACATGCTGACAGACTAATGACTAATAAACAGGCTGTTTGCTATCAGCTTAGCAATGCAAGTCACAGTGTGACTTTTACCCAAACATCCTTTCCATCAACAGAAGAGCCAATGCTGCAAATATGTGTATTTATAATAAAACTTGTATTTATATAAAAACATATATTTCCATTTGTAACTGTTAATAAATGAATATCTTAAAAGTAAAAAACTGTATTATCAAGAGTCAAAAAGCTCCACCGCCATTCCTGTTTGTCATCATGTCTCTGTGTTCAATGTTCTCCTCCTCAGGCTCTGGGTCTGCCCATCACTGATGCTCAGATTGCAGAGATGGAGAGCCATGCAGAGGACATTGACTTTGCCATGGCGGCTGAAGAAGAGCGAAAGCTGAGGCACGATGTCATGGCGCACGTCCACACCTTTGCACACTGCTGCCCCACAGCTGCTCCCATCATCCACCTCGGAGCTACGTCATGCTATGTGGGAGACAATACTGTAAGTATGACTATTGCATAAATAAACCCAGCAGTGATGAGTTTTGACTCTTTAAAGCTTCTCATGTTTGTCGTTTCTGTTCTTCAGGATCTCATTGCATTGCGTGATGGCTTCAACATCCTCTTGCCTAAGGTGAGACTCACCTGTTTGTCCAGAAATTCTATGAAAACAGTGCAAATGAATATATTAATATCAAACAAGCTTGTCAGCTAGTTTTTTGTTTTTACAGTGAGTCCATTTAAAAAAAACTAACAGGACATTTTCATTGAATTCATGAAAAAATATATTTAAAGATGACAGGACAGGCTATCCAATATGTTGGTTACATTTATTACGCATCTTCACTGCTTCTGGGAGCTAAAAATCAAAGCTGGCTGTTTGTAGTCCACGATGTAAAATAAGTTTGACACCCTGATTTGCATCATTAAAGGCTTGTTTTTCCTGCAGCTGGCCAGAGTCATCGACCGGCTGGCAAACTTTGCAGAGGAATACGCCGACCTCCCCACGCTCGGCTTTACACACTTCCAGTGAGTCCGACTGCAGCTGCAGTGTTTTCATAGGCCTTCATCAGACTGATGGAGCTGTCTAACTTTGATGTCAAACACACCCACTGTGCCCCTCTCCTCCTCTCTGTACAGGCCTGCCCAGTTGACCACAGTGGGGAAGCGAGCATGTCTGTGGCTGCAGGATTTGGTGATGGATGTGAGGAACCTGGAGCGAGCCCGCGATGATCTACGTTTCCGTGGAGTCAAGGGGACCACAGGCACCCAGGCCAGCTTCCTGCAGCTCTTTCAAGGGGACCATGACAAGGTATAAACAACCATAAGAACCATGTGGGTGCTTTCTGAAGTCCCACAGCACCGTATTGTGATGACTTTTTAATGTCAGTTTTCCTTTTGTACCACCAGGTGGTAGAGCTTGACAAGATGGTGACAGAGATGGCTGGCTTTAAGAAGTGAGTATCAAACTCCTGTCTCCAATATTGGCTGACATGTTTTTATAACATGGTCCAAGTAGGAACAGTTTGAAACACAGGCTATAACTCATTTGTTCCATTCTTATCCAGAGCCTACCTGGTGACTGGACAGACGTACAGTCGCAAAGTGGACATAGACTGCCTGTCCACGCTCGCTAGTTTGGGAGCTTCTGTGCACAAGGTGAGGAAATGTCTACATTTAGTGGTGGTTAAAGAAACTTGGGTCTTGAGCTCAGGATTTTCAAAAAGCTGATATAACTGAGTCTAAACTTTATACTGTCGTCTGCTATAGATCTGCACAGACATCCGCCTGCTGGCCAACCTAAAAGAGATCGAGGAACCTTTTGAGAAGGAGCAGATTGGTACGTTCGCTCATTCAAAAGCACTTTTTACCTGTTAAACTGTGCCTCAGCCTAAAGCTTTGCCTGCTCCTCTTCCAGGTTCCAGTGCTATGCCCTACAAGAGGAACCCCATGCGTGCAGAACGCTGCTGTAGCTTGGCCCGACATCTGATTGCGTTGATGGCCGACCCCCTGCAGACTGCCTCAGTCCAGTGGCTGGAGAGGACACTGGATGACAGCGCCAACAGGTCAGCCAACACAGACACACTTACACTGCTGTGAATTTGGTATGATGCAGTTCTCCTCTGTGAAGTAGATATTACATCAGTGTGGAAGTATACAATAAATAGTAGTGAACAATGATTCCCAATTACAGGATTTGTACGGGTGCTTGAAATCCTTAAAAATGCTTGAATTTTAAAAATTTTCCAGGTCAAGTTATATAAGAATCAGTCCATTCACTGTCTGAACAGAGTTTCGTCATGTTACTTTTGCACTTTTTTGCATGTTCTGGCACATGTTGTTATTACATGGCTTGATTAAGGTACACATTAGGCTGATATCTGGGGCCAGAGCTGAAACTGTTCTTGGCCAGCAGTGTGTCTACAACTGGCCCGTGGCTGCACACCACCTATGGATGGCCCACACACCACAAAGAATGACTGCTTTTTGGTGGCCCAGCTCAGGTTTGCCAGAGGTAATCCACACATGGGCCAGCACAGGACCACCAGTGTGTATGCAACTGGCCTTGTGCTGGCCCATGTGTGGGCCACCTCTGGCAAACCAGGTCTGGTCCACCAAAGGGCCGTCATTCTTTGTGGTATTCGGGCCATGTGTAAGTACATTGTGTGGGCCTGATCCGGGCCATACCAATTTTGCTATGTGGGATTATGTTCAAAGCCTGTTCCAGTCAGTGCTGTTCTCCATGACTGTCTTACTGTGCATGATGTTATTAGCACAAACACTTTAAAGATAATCATTTAGGACTTTAACAATAATACAGACAACAATGTAGTTAAACAACTTACAGTTAGTTTTATTGAGAATTAACTTTAACCTGTTAGGCCTCCAGGGGTTTTCTGAGCTTTTTTTTTTTTTTTGTTTCTTCAAGTGGAGATGAATATCTTTACAAGTTGATTTGTTCACATTTGCACATCTTAATTATTAAGAGAAATGTTTTTTTTTTGTTTGTTTTTTGAGTTTGTACACTATATGCATATAACACAACCATTTCCTTTCTCAGTATTTTTATGCAGTGTGTTTTTCTCTATTTTAAAGGGGGGGGAAAAAGGACATTTAAGTTGACCTAAGACAGATCTTCCCAAAGTGTGGGGCCTGCAGAGCCATTGCAGGGGGGGCGCGGTATGAAAAGCAAAAAAAAACCAAACAAAAAAACCCAACGCTTGGACACTGCTAGCAGGGGGCGCCCACACTAACGCAAAGCAGGAGATGAAGCATCGCTGAATATGTTTTCCCACGCTGGGCTCTCCAAATCACAGACAAACAGTATCCCACAGCTGTTTATGTGTTTAAACCCATTTTGCACAGAGAGGCTTTTTTGAAAAATGTATTGATAGCAATGTTGAATATTATTACACAGGAAAAAAACAAACCAGCGACACGTAAAATAATCACACCGTGACGCCTCTGCCTTTCTAAATGGATCGACAGTAACTGTGTGTGTATATGTAAGCCTGTAAAACCTGAAGATAGTCAGAGACAAAATACTGTAAATCTATCTGCCATTCTGCTATTCATCTCATGTAAACAATAACGTGGCGCACCGTGTGACGTGAAAAAAGGCACATACCATTGACATTGCGTGACGAACTCTGTATTCCTCGTCCACACGTAAACGCAAAAAAGGAGTTTTAAAAAAAATCTCCGTTCTCGGTGATTCCAAACGCCGTTTACTTGTGGACAAAACAGCTGCGTTTTCAAAAATACCCGTGTATGTGTGCACGTAGCGCAAAAGAGTTAGTAGTTTATTTCCTTACTACCTGTAATTTATTGCAGATTACTTGTATTTGCTTAATTGTTTACTAAATATTTGAGGTGTGAAAGAAAAACGCAATGGAGCAAAATATGGGTGTGTGTGGTTGGAGGATGTGTTTATGCGTGTGCGCGAGAAGGGGGGGGGGGGTCCGCGAACATTTTTCTTGTCAAACAAAGGGGACCTAGCAAAAAAAGTTTGGGAACCACTGACCTAAGATGATTTGTTTTAATTTTTACATGGTCTTACTAAGGTGATGCTAAGTGAAACATGCATTATTTTATTTAATTTTTTTTGGTAATCTACTGGAAAAGCTTGAAAATGGACCTTGAAAGTGCTTGAATTGGACCCTGAAAAATGCATATGAACCCTGCACTTAGGAGTGGGTGTCCCAAGTGGAGGGCCACAGTGACTGTCCACTTTTTTTTAAGGAGACTGTTTTTAAAAGTGGATTTCTCCTTCATTTTTTCCACTGACTCTTCAGGAAATCCATGAGAGTTTGAGGCCTTGAACAAAGCCAAACAGCTAAGAGAGGAATTGTGGCCATGAAGGGAAAATGGAAGAAAACCTAAAGGGGGGGAAAAAGAAAAGAAATTAAGAGTAAAAGACGATGTACATAATTGCGTTAATGGTTAAAGAACTACACATCCTACAATGCATTGCACATTGTTACCCAGGATTCAGTGGTTCAGTAAAAAGCTGTTACTTGTGATTACTGATGGTTTCTTTCCTCTCTTCTCTGCCTTGCTCCTGTGCAGGAGGATCTCCCTGCCCGAGTCCTTCCTGACAGCAGACATCATCCTCAGCACACTGCAGAACATCACAGAGGGTCTTGTGGTCTACCCCAAAGTCATCGAGAGACACATCCACCACGAGCTGCTCTTCATGGCCACAGAGAACATTATCATGGCGATAGTGAAGGCAGGAGGCAACAGACAGGTAGGAGAAAATGCCCTGTGAGGAGTTCTCCTCTGTGAGTAAGAATGGACACAATAACAATTTGAACATAACTGGATGAATGCATTTTTGCTTGATCAGGAGAGATGGTTTACTGGGCAGAAAATGCCAGTGGTAACCAGAAAAACAGATGACTGAAGTGAGCTCATCTTACTGACTAGTAACCAGTGTTTTGACCATTTAAATGAAGAAGCTGATTACCAATAACCAGACCTGACATGGAGACCTAACAACATGGCTGTTAAAGTCAGCTCCACCTTAATGTTTCTGTTTTTTCCTGTGTCTCCTTCAGGAGTGCCACGAGAAAATCCGTGTTCTCTCCCAAGAGGCAGCAGCTGTGGTCAAACAGGAAGGTGGAGACAATGACCTGCTGGCCAGAATCCAGCGAGACCCCTACTTTGCACCCATTCTAGGGCAGCTGGATGCTTTGCTGGACCCCAAGACCTTTATTGGGCGTGCTCCACAGCAGGTACAGCATGAACAGCCTTATTTTTGTTCAGTCTGACCACAGATGAATGTTTACAGCCAAGCTGCAGCTCCCCTATTACTGCAGCTGTGTCTGCTGCCCCCTTTGATGATAGTTTGTTTTCTTGTTCCTGCTCCTCTTCTTCAGGTGAAAACGTTCCTGGCTGAAGAAGTACGCCCCCTACTGGAGCCGTATAAGGCCAATATGGACGTCAAGGTTGAGCTTGTGCTTTAAAACATCAGTGATGTCTTGAGCTGGTTTTATGGTCGAGCAGAGTTTGCTGTCCACTCCACTCTAGGGACTGACCGTCTGTCTGCCTGGAGCGAGCTCTGTTGTCAGATGGAGGCAGCGCACAAAGTGTGTGGTACAACCAGCGTGTGGGCCGCTCTTGCTTGTACTGTTGTTGGTCAACCAGCCGCGGTGGAGAGAAGTTATAACAGATGAGATGAAGCGAGACTGATAAAAACAGTAAAATGGGGGGGGGGCGGCTATCCATAACGTGAAATTTCAAGTTGTGTATTTCAAACTAATTTCAAGCTAAAATTTAGTCATGGCTCTGCCAATCAGGAAGGTCTGTTGAAGGTATGTTGTGCTTTTCTATTTTTTTATTTTTTTATTTTTTTTTGGTTACCGGGAAGAAGAAGGTGGAAAGCATCAGCTGCACAATACTCCAGCTGCTGGTCATTAATGAGTTAACCACTGTGTATTTTCACACTGGATTTACAACTGATGAAATCTTGTGTTGCTAAAAGAATCGCATGACATTATCAGCACAACAGTAATTTGTTCTTGTTGACTATACATTGATAGGCAACTGGTGCTATTGCAACCTGCCTGGTTGTTTCATTTGTCATTGACGCAGTATTATTGTTTGCTTGAAATAAATAAAACATAAATGCTAAAACTGTTTGGGGTGAATTTATTAAAGCTATGCCCTCTTTATAGATGGGAAGCAAACGTTCTGAGTGCATGATGGGGTTTAACAACATTCGTCATCAGCTGTATCCTTTTGTGTCCAAATCTATCATAACACTGACTCGAAGTCCTTTAAACAGATGAAGTCAAGTTGCTTTATCTCACACTCCACTACATAATTTGCCAGTAATCCATTTTTTGTGTCTATTATGCATTTTTTGACTTGTTCATTACCATAATAATGTTCTCTGTGGCCATGAAGGGCAGCTCGTGGCGGATGTGTCTCTCGGTGACTTTGGGGTAGACCACAAGACCCTCTGTGATGTTCTGCAGTGTGCTGAGGATGATGTCTGCTGTCAGAAAGGACTTGGGCAGGGAGATCCTCCTGCACAGGAGCAAGGCAGAGAAGAGAGGAAAGAAACCATCAGTAACGACAAGTAACAGCTTTTTACTCAACCACTGAATCCTGGGTAACATTGGGCGACCTTGGCTCAGGAATCGCATCTGTAACCGGAAGGTCGCCGGTTCGATCCCTGGGCTCTCTGTCCTGGTCGTTGTGTCCTTGGGCAAGACACTTTACCCTACTTGCCTACTGGTGTTGGCCAGAGGGGCCGATGGCACGATATGGCAGCCTCGCTTCTGTCAGTCTGCCCCAGGGCAGCTGTGGCTACAACTGTAGCTGCCTCCACCAGTGTGTGAATGTGAGAGTGAATGAATAGTGGTATTGTAAAGCGCTTTGGGTGCCTAGAAAAGCGCTATATAAATCCAATCCATTATTATTATTATTATTATTATTATTATTATTATTGTGCAATAAACACTGTATCACAATCATGAGTCTTAATTGTAGAGATTTACACCAACTCTGGACTCCATATTCATCAACACAATCTATCATGACGTCATTTGAAGCTCAGCCAAGCATGTCTCACTTATAGCTGGTTAAATGTTTTAGTTATAATCTCACCACTTCAACCAGTAATCTACTACTTCCAGCTGGTAAACCATTTAACAGCTTTGAGTGACCAAATTCACCTTTCATGATGTTTACTTAATAAATAAAACAGTGTTTGCACTTTTATCTTGCTTTTAGTTAATGTTAACCCATATTGCCACTCATAGCTATACTTTTAGCAAATCATACTTTTTTCTTTTTTTTTTAACCACCCAGTCATGGTTTATTTAACCAATACCATTTTCAAATTTGTTGACTTTCACTCAGGTGTTCAAACATTTTTTACAGTAGAGAAAATTTCTTCATGTAAAACCTGGCTAACGCAGAAGCTAAACTTGAGCTACCTAATCCTAATTAAGAATCATTGTTCCCTACTTATTGTATGTGTCTACATTAATGCAACATCTTTTTCAAAGTTCAGAGTTATAGCATCACATCAAATTCACAGCTGTGTAAATGTGTCCGTAGTATCTGTACAGTCAGGACCTGGTAGCATGCACATGATTATTAAGACCTCCTTTATTCTCTGCAGACCCAAGAAAAAAGACATGTGGACTGCATCATATTTTCCTACACTCTCATCTGGTTGGGGCTTCCTTTTCTTGATTTCTGGAGAGAACGTATTTATCAGTTCCTCGGTCAAAAGGAGTTTGAACTCCAGGTACTGGGAGGAGTTCTTTTTAGAATTTCAAAGTTCTCTCTGAAGCCACGAGTTGGAGTAAAAGCTTCGCATGTTTGTTGTTTGTTTTCTTCTGAATCTCATTGCACTGCATGATGGTTTCAGCATTCTCTTGTCTTAAGGTAAGACTCACCTGTTTGCCCAGAAGTCACACAGGTGAGTTTGACATCCAGTTATGCATCCCTTAGATTTTGGAGTAGCAACAGCAGTATTCTTTCTTCTTCTTTTTTCTCCTGACAAAAACAAGACGATAGTTAAATACTAATGTACGAGGACAAAACCTGTGATGAAACTATCGCTGATTTAAAAAAGAGATGAGAATGTTCTACAGGGATGAGATCCAATCAGAATTGAAAGTGTGTAGAGAAGCGGGGTGATTTTAGAAGTTAGCCATGCACAATTTGATCTGTTGCCAACAAACAGGGTGGTGGAAACTCCTATGCTCCCAGTTTCTCATGAAAAGTTGCCTACCATAGCAGTATAGTTTTGCAACATGGCATTTGGGTCTTCTAACTAAAATAGGAACATAAATAGCACCATCATTGCCAGACCTGGCTCACATCTGGTTGACATACACCCTGCCATGACACCAGTCAGTCAGAAGTGCCAGCTTGATGCCGGATCTGGGCCAGACCTGTTTTCTATGAGCCTGGGCCACATAAACCAAACCAAAATCGGCCAGATGTGGCATGCCATTACACAAACAGTGCCATCTACGCCAGGCCTGGCCCATATCTGGATGACATACCACTTACCATGCCAGAAGTCAGCCAGCAGTGCCAGGTTGACTCCAGCTCCAGGCCAGACCTGTCTGCTATGTGGGTTCAGGAGTGCCATGAGATGATCATGTTCAAGAGGCAGCAGCTGTGGTTAAACAGGAAGGTAGAGACAATGACCTGCTGGCCAGAATCCAGCGAGACCCCTACTTTGCACCCATTCTAGGGCAGCTGGATGCTTTGCTGGACCCCAAGACCTTTACTGGGCGTGCTCCACAGCAGGTACAGCACAAAAAGCCTTATTTTTATTCAGATTCTGGCAACAGATGAATGTTTTCAGCCAAGCTGCAGCTCTCCTATTACTGCAGCTGTGTCTGCTGCCCCCTTGGTGACTGTGAGGACTGTTAACAAACTAATGGTATAAAAATGGTTTTTTTTCTCCCTGCTCTTCATCTTCAGGTGGCAAAGTTCCTGGCTGAAGAAGTACGCCCCCTACTGGAGCCATATGAAGCTAATTTGCACGTCAAGGTTGAGCTTGTGGTTTAAATCCTCTGCAGTCAGGGGATGTGCCAGCGTGTCTCATGACTGATTAAAGATTTTTATTATTTTATTATGTTATTTTATTTATTACTTATTTATTTTGTCCATTTCAACTGTTTTTTTTTAAATGACAAAAACCAACAAAACAAACAAACAAAAAATACATATATCAATCACCTGGATCACCTGTTGAGAAAGGAAAAAAAGAGAAAACAAGCAACAACAAAAAAAGAGAGCAATATAATAAACAACATCACGATGATCTATGTGAATATAACAGTAAATACTAAATATTGAATATTATTGTAAGATCGACAGCACACAGTGTGCTTTGAGGTAGGAGCCAAAAAGGGTGTAGTTTGTGTGAGCACCCGTGTGTACACCTGTGAGCATGAGCGCACTTGTATGTAACAGGTTCCTTCATGTAATGATCTGCTAGAGGGTGTGTGTGTGTGTGTGTGTGTGGGGGGGGGGGGGGGGGCACAGCCCCGTCCTCCAGGGCATGAAGCAGGTATGGAGGAGATCAAGACTCCAGACATCCAGAGGCCCCCAGAACACAAGAGACCAAGGAAGACCAACAGAGGGGCAGCTGCGCCACTGTCCCAGTAAGAGCTGAGGAGAGTCCTAGATGAGGGGTCACTCAGCAGCTGTGGAGCAGAAGCCAGGGGGGGTTGCAGTGACGCGCCCATGAGCTCCGCCGGCAGCCAGCTGCGCCAGAGTGACCGAGCCCCAGGCCGAAAAGCCAAGGGCACCCCGAAGGGGCCCTAGCGAGCCCCAGGCTCCAGGCCCCTACAAGCAGCGACCAGGAGTGAGCCGGTGCGTACCTGGACGCCCATCCCTGGACACAAAGAACCACCGATGTCTGAGGGCATCTGGAGACATACATAAATAGACACTGTACACACAATCACACTCCCCAAGCGTACTCTATAACCCAGGTCTAGGTACCCTTGCCCCTGGAGGGGGAAACTACACCCAGACCCAGGTAGTGTTACCCTCTTCCCTGGGGTGGAGAGAAGCAGACCACCCCGACTTCCGCAGCAGCAGGGAGGCCCCACAATCAGACGGCCAACTCCTCCTCCTAGCCCCCCCGCCCCAACAGGCAACAGAGTAAGGGGTTGTGTGAAGACTCCAAACCTCCCTCAGCCCGCTCATATGTAGTGTTGATGCATGTGTGTTCTAAGGTGCATTTAAAACCCAGGAGGGCATGGAGCTACCTGCCCGAGAGCAGCAGGTAAGCGCATAGCCCCTCCTGATAGCCCTCAATGTCTACGTGTATTTAAAATTGAGTAATACACATCACATATTCTCCATAACCAGTGTGATCGTATTTGCTGAATGTTGTTGGAGAAAGTTGAGTCATGATTTTGATTGTGCAATGTCATGGAATAGCGTCCAATATGTCATGTCCTAGGGTCATTATGGGAGTGGTGAAGTTACTGAGTTACTATTTAAAAGCTAACAGAGAGCTACCATTCAACCTGCAATCAGTCATCCCTCATCACAGAGTGAGTACAAATGCCTCCTCTTTCACTCATTGTTACTCTAACTTAATGTTTTGGTGTTGTAAAACTGTTACTTTTAGCCACGCCTTCTGCTGTAGTCGATATGTTCTTTAATAGGTTTCTTTTTTACAGTTCAAACTTTGTTTTGTAGAGAAGGTTGCTTTGATTTTGTTGTATCTATCTCCACATGCTCTATAGCAGCATGCAGCTGTGGGCATTGCGCCCCGTCTGCCTGGCTTTCTTTGGCACTGCAGGCATTTGGACTGTGTGAGTGTTTCATTTCCTTTCTTAACTCACTTCTCATAAAATGTTTTACCTTATTTCTCAAACCCAAACACATTGGCAGTGGTCTTTATTCAGACCTCTTGTCTGTGTAAATCAGTACAGCAAATGTGGACGTATTCACAACCCATGTGTTGTGCTGGTGTCAATAAATGCAACTATTCATGCCTTGAGGTTGAGCTCAGTCATGCCTCTGTGAAAAGCTGTGGGCAAGCAAACTGATAAAGACATAAAACATGCAGTATAGGTTATCTATAAGGTTTGTCTTCAGTTTAAAGTACATATTTAGCTTAGGATAGGTGCCTAAAGGTA